CTTGCATTTTTTACGTGCTTTCGAACTGCTAGGTTGGCAGAAGCCGGGACAAGTCACAGGGGCTCACTCTGTAACGCGGTGCTAGGGATTCAAACTGCTGAACTGCCGACATTTCTGATCGACAAGGTCAGCATCTTAGCCACTTATTCACTTAACAACCATCTAACTTGACAACTGCAGCAATTCATTTCACAACTTTGGCAAGAAAGGCTGTTAAGGAGGGCAACAGAAGTCTTGGGCTCAACTGCGGTCGTAAGTCGAGGACTAACTGTATGTAGGCAGAGAACAAGGAAAGAGAGAAAAGGACTGTCTTTACTTTTAATAAATTCACTTAATCGGATGCTTTCTCTCCCCCACCCCACCCCTCTGCTACTCATCTGACTTTCCACGCTGCCAGTATTGAAACTTGTGATTTTATCAGGCACGAACCAACGTCCAAGTTCCACTAAACCACGCCAGGAGTTAACTCATAATTCATGTTTTCCAAAGCCAGGAAACGGGTTGAGAACTTTAGTCAGAGACAAGTATATTGCACAAATAAATATGGCACGGAGTAATTTATGATCTACCTCATAAACTGTGGGTGTAGGTAAAAAGCCATATATATCTATATACACATAAACAGAAAGAGGAATTTTAATCAAGATAATCAGCTCCACACACTGGACAGGTGTGCGTGCATTCCCACTAAAAACCACACAGCAGGATAAATTCACTCAACATACAAATCTGGAGAAAAGGAAGGCGTGTTTTGAACATTCGATCACAGACCACCGAGTCCTCACGGAGAAATTACAAGATCTGATGCTCCATCCTTTCAAGCCAGGAGAAACACAGGTAGCCCTCGACCACAACTGAACCCCAAATTTCCGTTGCTAAGTGAAACATTTATCGGTTTTGCCTCATTTGACGAACTTTCTTACCGTAATTGTTAAGTGAATCAGTGAGGTTGTTAAGTTAGTGACACGGTTGTTAAGCGAATCTGGGGATCGCATGACACAGCAACTGTTATGAGTTTCAGTTGCCAAGTATCTGAATTTCGATGAGGATGGCCATGGTCGTAAGTGTGAAAAAGGGTCGTAGGGCACTTCTTTCAGTGCTGTTGTAACAACAGTCACTAAATGAATTGTCGCAAGCAGAGGACCACTTAGTGAGGGAATTAAAGCCATAATTGCTGGGCTCGTGGAACAGAGTAAGCCAGAGTAGGCCGTCATATTTCTGGTTTAAGAGCAGAAAAGCAAAACTTCAAAACAAGCCCGTCATGTCGGCCTCCTCCGGCTGTGCCCTTAACTTTCCTGCCTCCTTATCACCAGGTGCCAGCCACGCCAAACTCAAGGGAATATTTGCACATCACAAAATGCCAACTGCAAAAGCACAGAACCTGTCCCCTGGGACATTTCCCGTCCTGTGACTTCTCTACCAGAAATGTTTTGTTGACGGCCAGCAGGAAAAAAACCCAATAGACAATGAAAATGTCAGCCTTGCTCACCAGAAGCTTCTCCTGAATTTTGTCACGTTTATAACCCCACCTTTTCCATGCTCAGCTATGTAATGTTTTTGGGCGCAGAGTTAAAAGCCGTCGTATCAAGTCAGAATTAGATCTCCTAGATCCCGAATTAAAAAAATAATACATAAATCTGCTTGGAAAAGGGAAGGCATGTCTTGAAAATCTTGTCAAGTAGGGGAAGGAGCCTCTGAGTTCCATTTTATTCCGTCGGCCAACTTCTTGTGTTATTTATATGACGCTGGGTTGTATCCAGGGAGGTGAACTGTTGTGCCAAACCGAACAACTAGCAGATGTTAAATTAGAAAGCTAAAAAATGTTGCACTGATCCCTGTGAGGCTGGTCTGAAACTCCACAAATTTGGCAAGGTTCATCCTATACATAGTTGGAGCTGCTTCATGCCTGCTGAATAAACCACAATGGAGTATATTCTGAGAAGAGTCAAACCACGGCTTGCAAACCCATCACAACAAGCAAAATCTATATACACTACATGAAGGCTTTGCGCTCCCAGCAACACAACCTTCCCAAAACATAGAAAAAGGCAACAGATCCAATTTATTTTTCATTAGTGACAAATTCGAGTAATTTAGGAAGGGAATTCTGAAAATAAACAGGCTGACTTTTTTTTTTAAAGGTTTATATAGCTATTTCTTTCATACCCACTTTAATTTGGGACAGAGCATTTCCACATCAATGCAAAACTTTAAAAAGTAGTGGTTCAGTGGCCAAGGCGCTAAGCTTGTCGATCGAAAGGTCAGCAGTTCGGTGGTTTGAATCCCTAGCGCCGCGTAACGGAGTGAGCTCCCGTNAGCTTCCTAAAGGCTATCCATGCCGCTTTTTTTGACAAAAAATGGGCCCATTTTCATGAAAAACATGCAGTTTTTTTGCTCATTTTTGCCCCCCCCGGAACACTCTGCAAGCCTCCTAATGGTTATTCATGTCCTTAAAAAAAACAAAAAACGGGCCCAACCTTTTTTTAAAAAAATTGCCTCTTCAAAACCTTGGTGCGTCTTATACTCCAAAAAAATACGGTAGCTGTAATAATGACAGATATACCCTGTGAACAACTGGGGAGGGTCCTTCTCAGCCCTCTTCCTGCCTACCAGACATTCCAAACTCCAGTGTCCTTTTGCTGTCTGGGCAACAGCCTTCCTTCTCCCGAGACCCCAGACCCACATTCCACCACAAATCCCAAGGGATTGATCAGGGTTTTTTTGCAGATAGTCCCAAAGGTGCTTTTATTCCATTTCGTTCTTGATCCAAGAAGCTTCTTCAGCTCTGACCGGATGGTGGGAGATGGAAGGATTGATACTCCTTGCAAACAGAACTGGTCCTTTGCATCCTTCTAGAGGGTCATTGAGGCCACTTGGAGGTTTTATCTGTGTCTTCAGGGTCACTTGAGTAGTGAAAATGGATGTGGACTTGAGGACACAGACAAACCTCCAAGTGCTTCAACGACCCTCTCAAAGGATGCAAACGACCAGCTGTCTGCAAGGAGTATCAATCCTTCCATTCCCCACCATCCACTCAGAGCTGAAGAAGCTTCTTGGAGGAGAAGCGAAACGTCTTCAAAGAAAAATCAAGAAAGTCCAGTTGCCTCTTGAAAAAAAAAACACCTTTGGGACAACCGGAGAGATTTTTCTGCAGATACTTCACCCCAGGTCACAACAATATTCTCCCAGGGCAATGGTTTGGGAAGCGGGGTGTTGCCTTCTCCATCTGTGTCAGAACTGAACATTCAAGGGAAAGATAACTTTCAGCCTTACTATATCACCTCTTGTGCTATATTTCGCAGCTAGGGGATTTTAGACCCAGGAAGAATAAATGGATGTCTTGGGAGGGAGGAATAGGAAAAAATAATAATCAAGATGGTCAAGATCAGAGATCCACAAACTTGGCAACTTTAAGACTTGGGGACTTCAAAATCCCCAAGTCT